TTACACTTAAATAACACTTAAATAGCACTTAATATAAAAAGTCTCTAGACTTACTTTTTAATAACTTAAAAAAAAACTACTTAAGTAAAGCTAATAAGCTAGGCCTCTTACTAAGATAAGCTACATAAAATAATTTAATAACTACTTAAACTTAAAAAAAAAAAAGCTTTTAAAAAACCTCTACCTACCTAATTTAAACATAAACTAAGACTTAAACAGTAGATAGACATCTGCTACATAGAACCTACCTTATTTATAACCCTAGCTTAATAACTAGATTATAAAATCTACGCAGTTATAATTTCTAATATAGACTAAGCTTTAGCTTTCTAAAAACACACTAACTTAAAAATAATAGTCCTTTAAAACTACTATAACTTATTATATGTCTTTTTTTAAAATAAGTTTAATAAGCTTTTAATATAACATCTATATAATTACTAGATAACTCTTAAGTCTAGTAAACAACCTAGTTATAGGCTACTATATAAGATGTTACTAAACAAATTAAAAGTGCTTTAAAAATACCTTAATAAAAACCTAAAAAAAGGGTTTATTTAAGCTAGCTTTTTACTAGTAGTGTTACCTATACTATTTATAAAGAAACTTAGGAGTAGGCTTTAATTCTATGTTAACTACTAAAGACTAAATACTATTACTATTAAGAACTAATACTTAATTCTTTTTTTACAAGAAACCTTAAGCTAACTAAGTAAAGTAAAGTATTTTATAAAGTTAGATATTATTACTGCCTTTAATAAGCTAAGAATAGTAAAGAGTAATAAGTAGCTAATAGCATTTTAGACCTAATATAGACTATTTAAGTACCTAGTAATGCTCTTTAGCTTAGCTAACACACCTAGTACTTTTTAACATTTTATAAACAACTTACTCTAACCCTACCTAGACATGTTCTACACTATGTATATTAATAATATTCTAATCTATAGTAATAGCCTTTTAGAGCACAAACAGCATGTACGCTTAGTGCTAAAGGCTATAGAAGAAGTAGGTCTGTAACTTAACATAAATAAATGCATGTTCTACTAATTAAAAGTTACATATTTAGAATATATAATCTCTACAGATAGCATTTAAATAGACCCTGTTAAGGTTTAGACTATGCTAGATTAGTAATACTTAAAAAATATAAAAGATGTTTAAGCTTTTATAAAATTTACTAACTTTTACTAATAATTTATTAATAACTTTTTATAGCTAGTAAGCTTTATAATTACACTTACTAAAAAAGAAGTTTAATTTAACTTTAACTTAAATTACTAATAGTCCTTTAACTAGCTAAAAAAAGCTTTTACTAAAGCCTTAATACTTTACTACTTTAACTTTAAACTACTAATACTTGTAGAAGCTAATGCCTTAGACTATGTAGTAGCAGAAGTTCTTTTCTAGACTAAGCTAGATAGAACTATTAAGCCTATTGCATACTTCTTAAAAAGAATAAGTCTTATAAAAAGTAATTATAAAATCTATAACAAGAAATTACTTGCTATAGTACACTGCTTTAAATAATAGTAACCTAAACTAGAAGGTGCAGCGCATCTAATATAGGTTCTATCTAACTATAAGAACTTACAGTACTTTGTAACTATAAAATAACTTAGCTACTAATAAGCCTATTAGTTTAAATACCTATTCTATTTTAATTTTAAGATTACTTATTATTCTAGTTAAAATAAAGAGAAACTAAATGCCTTTATAAAGTAATTCTAAGACATTTTTGCTTAGAAAAAAGTGTAAAAGGCTTAACACTAAACTCTACTTTAACCTAAGCTATTTTTAGACCTTAACTTAAATAAAATAAATTAGATAATTAATTAAATTATTACTAATAAGTATCTAAATAATAAATTTATCTAAGAAACTTTAAACCTGCTCTAAAACAGCGCTAGTTAGTTAAAAAAAGTAACACTAGCTAACTATAAAAACTAAAATAGTAAGCTATATTACTATAACTAACTTATAAT